AAAATACCTATGGGTTCTGTCTTCTGTCTAGACCCTAACAGATATATTCTCTGCTTACCCTACTTTATTTTCTTTATGGTACTTATCACTAACTGAAATTATTTGTGTTTGCTTTTTTTTTTTTTTTTGAGACAGGGTCTCACTCTGTCACCCAGGCTAAAGTGCAGTGGCCTCATCACAGCTCACTGTAACCTCAGCCTCCTGGGCTCAAGCAATCCTCCCACCTCAGCCTTCCAAGTAGCCAGGACTACAGATGCACACCACCATGCCAAGCTAATGTTTTTTTTATTTTTGATTTTTTGTACAGACTGGATCTCCCTACATTGCTCAGCCTGGCCTCAAACTCCTAGACTCAAGTGATCCTCCCACCTCTGCCTCTTGAGTAGCTGGGAAAAGAGGCTGGCATCACCACACCCGGCTTGTGTTTGTTTACTTTTTATTTATCAGTTTTTACCACTAGAATGTAAACTCCATGAAGGCAGGAATTTTGATTCATAATTGAGTGAATTCCTAGTATCCAACACATTGTGAAATCATAACATATTCACAAGAAATATTTGTGACTGACTAAATGAATCTTTGGCCAAATGGACCAAATTATGCTTTTAGAATTTCGACTCTTTTATTATATCAAATGGAGATGAATGTCCCTTGCTTATACCTGAGCTTTGTTTCACATACTCCCACTTACTCACTTCACTCGTATCATTCCATATCTGTGCTTATGGTGTTCCTTCAGTCTCCTAAAATTAGTAAGGAACTTATTTGTGTGCAAAAATTCCACCTTACTACCATTTAAACCTATGAAAGTCTCAAGCAATACAACACAGAACCCTCCCTGAACATTTTACAAGGGAAATAAAGCTACTAGAGTGGGGTGGGAAAGACTGGTTTCTCTGTAAACCTTTCCCACAAATGCTGACAAGATTCCAAAGAGTAGTAACAGCTGTTACTACCCAAGTTAACCTTTTTGCACTTTTGGTTTAGAACAGCAGTCTCCAACCTTTTGGGCACCAGGGACCAATTTCATGGAAGACAATTTTTCCATGGAACTTGTTGCAGGTGGAAGAGTTCTGGCAGTGATGCCAGCAATGAGGAGGGGTTGTAAATACAGATGAAGCTTCCCTTGCTCACCTGCCACTCACCTTCTGCTGGAAAGCCTGGTTTCTAACAGGCCATGGACTAGAACCGGGACCGGTCCATGACCCAGGGTTTGGGGGCTGCAGGTTTAGAACACTCAAAATACTCCTACTAAAACCTAACACTTGAGATCCATCACTTTAAAACACTTTTTGAATTTCTAACTTTCTTTAACAACCAGTCTATCATCAATCATTTCTTCTGAGTCTTTAGCTCATTCTCTCTCTCTCAGATAAAAAATACTTGCAAACGAATCTTTGAATGAATCTTTCAACTTTTCTGCAGGCTCATTTAAGTTGGATTTTACCCCTACCCTGCCACACTTGTAGCCTTTCTTATTTTTATTTTGGAATACTAAAACAACGCAATGCTTGCTGGGATGTTCAAAACAATATTATTATAGTATGCTGGAAAGTCTAAGGGCCTACTGCTCAAATTCGTCCAAAACAGAAAACACTGGAAAAATTCTGTTTTTGCTCCCTCTGCCTCCTATGTCCTATTCATCTCTGCTGATATGAGAGGAACAGAGAAGTACAGAATGCCAAAGGACACAAAAAGGTGGAACAGATAGGTATGAGATCTTTAGTGGAAATCACTTGGTCTTACCAAGCAATCTGAAGAACAGCAACAAAGGTAAGAACACTGACAAAAGAATGACCTTCTAATTCTTTCCTTTTTTTACAATGCTGCACTTCAACATACACTGATTATCAAATTTCTCATTAACAGTAAATACTATTCTTCACTAAATAGCAAGAACTTCCATTTAACCTCCACAACCTGTCTCTGAATATCAAGTTTCCCCATTTGCTTCCAAGCTAAATATGTGTCCTCTCTTTAGGACCCTGTTACATTTAAAATAGTTTTAGGTTGTCCAACAGTACAAACTCTGTCTTTGATTCTGGCAACAAATTCTCTACCAAAGCCAAGAATCAATACATAATAATAGGAAATGTTAAAAAAAAAAAAAAAAAGAAAGAAAGAAAGAAAGAAAGAAAAGGAATTTTTTCCCAGGAGATTAAGTGGAAAATGGAAAAATGTACAATGTTTTTTTAAAGACACTCTGGACCTAAAGATGTTTTTATTATTTTAGAGTCAATAGCAAATTTAGTATAATTTTGTTGCTCAGAATATTACATTTTATGGTGAGAATGAGGGTACTACTTCACTTTTCAATTTTGTCATATTGCAAGTGTCAAGGAAAACTAAACTTATACGTCTAAGGGATATTAAGCCAAGCTTTCCAAAATGCCATTGGTAAGAGTTTTCTTCCCTTGTCTTACACTCAAGCTAGAGAAATAAATTATTTTCCACCAGTGGAAAAAAACTGCATAAAAGATTGCCTGGATCCTAAAACATCTGCTTCTTCTAAAAGTTCTCAGTAAGATTTTCACTCAGATAGCATAAATGTGAAATTAACTCAACAGAAGTACAGCACAACAAGCTTGAAGGAAACCAGAAACAACCATAAATATAAAAGATAAGAGGAATTTACTTCAGTTTGTCATCCTAATATCACTGTTTAATTAAAGTTTTACCTTTCAGTGTTAACACAACTTTTAGAAAAATCTGTGGAGAGCAAAAGTAACAGCTGCCCTAAGGAACCAGGCTTAGCCCTAAAAACATTTATCCAGAATTGTCCACTAATTTGGGGAAGGCAACATTTTGGTATAAGACTAAATGTGGTGCCAACCTGTATTAAGCTTAGTGCTATTGATGGGAGACCGATCCAGGACCTCAGAAATCTGTTAGGAATCCCATCTCCCATCCTGGCTAGCTGTATAATTATGGAGAAGCAACCTGTTCAAGCCTCAAATCCTCGTCTATACAAGGATGAGGCTAACTTAGATGATCTCTAAGATTGTTTTCAAACATAGTTCTATCTTTATCATTCCCACCACTCCCATTACATTTTCCAGGGATTTCATTCATTCATCAACCATTTATTAAACACCTACTGGGTCTCTGGCACAGACACTGATCTCAATGAGTTTACATTTTGATTGTTCCGTAGGCACATTAGAAAATGAGCAGTTAAAACATAAGCTTAGACTTAATAAGGGGATAAATAAGAGTGATTACGTGGCTGGTTTATTTGATTTAGAATTCATAAAATGATGCATTTATGGATCAGTATGAAACTCCACATTTGATACCGCTCAGAAAACAAGAATGTTATTAAAATATTTTGGTTAATGAGTACTTATTAGATCTGCCACTGCCAAAATATCATTTAATTAAAACCAACTGCCAGCATATTTAGTAGGCACCATTTCTAGGCAGTAAAAACCAGAAGGCCTGTCCAGCCAAAAAGGTACAATAAAGTTGGCTTGCGTGGGGAGAGAATCTCAATCCAATTTCTAACATGAATATGTGACTGAGTAACAGTCTGTGCTGATCCATCCCTGTCAACTTTTAATCCTTCTGACTGATGAAAAGCATGAGACATCTGTTTATTTTAAGTACATGCTGGTGGCTGGCTTTCTTATTTTCACCTTTCTTTGTACAACTGTACAGAATTCATCAAATGCTTAATACATACACTGCCACAATGCCCCCCTCCACCCCTGGGGGCCTAATAAGATAACCCAGATGCCTACATTGACCATATGAAAATTAAATTCTAAAGTTTAAAAATAAACAAATGACACTAACACAAGGCAAAATATGGTATTATTATAGTGAAAACTTCATGTACTCAATATGGTGCTCCCTGTTAAGATAAAAGTAAATAAAACTAAGAGTTCCTACAACAGGAAAGGAACAGAAAAGAAAGGGAGGAGGAATAAGGATAACATTTACTCAGCACTTAACAGGTGCCAGGCACCCATTCAGGTAGTTTTACTTATTCTTCTCAAGAACTCTACACATGAAAATATGCCCAAGTAGGTGACTGTCTATAGTAAGAGAAAGCCTTCACAAAATGATTCTAACAGCCTAGGAGTGTATACTAACACGAATGCACCGTTGATGTAAATAATCATTCTGCCTAGAATCTTCACATTTGGAACTAGAAGGTCACCTAGGCAACCCATCCATCTTATGGATGACTCAACTTAAGCCAGACAAGCTAAGGGGCTTGACTAAGGTCCTTGTTTAAAAGAGATGAGATCAAACCAATAATCAAGGCATCCATATATCACCCTGCTGGTAACTGTTTGGTGAAATTTAACGATTACAAGTTACTAAACACCTATCAGCACTTTTATTATAATAATCATAAAATCCAATTATACAAATGGCTCAAAATCGCCAAAGAATAATTTGCCATTTTCTATGAACCTGCATTTGAACATATTTGCCTATTTCCCTGATTGCTCTACTCATTAAGATCCCAGATGCAAAGCGGTGTGTGTGTGTGTGTAGACGGGGGGATGGATGTTGGGGAGAATCAGGTCACTGAGGTAAAGATTTCTTCTTATAAACCCCTGCGCTGACGATCCTGGCCCGGGGCTCCCTATCCCCTCCGCGATTCGATTCGTATAACCCTTGAGTCCGGCGGGAGGACGGAGGATGAGTGTGCAGTAATGTGGCTCCCGCACCCTCGGCTCTTCGGCTCCCCTCGCTCCTCCCGGCCGGGTCCGAACGCTGACCCCACCACACAGGACCGTTACAGGGTTACCAGGGCCGCGATGCCCCGCGCGGGCCGCCCCTCCCCCACCGCGGCCTGAGGCGAGCGGCGCCGGCCCGGCCCCCGCGGCTCCCCGCGCGAACAATACAGGGGGTCCCCCGCCAGGCCGAACGCCAAGGCCCCGCGCCGTGGGCCTCTCAGAGAGCGTCGAGCTGCAGGCCGCAAAAGACAACCACGCGGGAGACCGAGAGAGAAGGCGGTTATTCAGGGCGCTGTGGCACGACCGTACCTGGCTCCAGGTGATGAATTCGTTGGTATGGGTTTCCTCCACAAGCGTCCACAGCTTGCTGAGGAAAGCCGGCACATTCGAACTCTGCTTCATTGTTAAGGCGGCGCAGGGATTCCAAATTCTACACCCGAACGCGACGATAGCGGTGGCGGCGGCAGCTGCTCCCCGAGAACGCCCACAACGCAGGCGCAGTAGATCTCCAGCCCAGCTCCGCCAAGCGCACAGCACCCCCGGGAGGCCCGGCGGCCGCACGTGACGGACAAGTCGCCGTGCTCCGCCCGTGCGCAGTGGTCCCGCGCCGATCTCGTTCCTGGCCAATCCCAGGGACCGACCACAAGACAGAGAAAAGCGATTGGATGCTGCAGACGTGGAGGGGTGGGAGCAGAAGGGGGTGCTGCCATCTCATTCGCTGTTTGTACAGGAGCCTTCACAGTAGCGGCTCAGGAGACCGTGTTTGGTTGTTTCACGTGGAAACGGCTTAGGGTTTCTGGGTTGTGGCTAGGCTACAAAAAGTCTTCAGGGTCCTTTGAGTCATAAGTTTGGCAGGCAATGTGTGATTTGCACTAGTCTACAGAAAGGAATAATTCACATAGGGGAAAAAATCAGCTTTCAATCATGATGTACTAGGCCCTGAAATGAAACTGTCTTAAAAATAAAGAACCTTGTACTTAAATTTTCACTGGGAGAAAATGGCTCTTTTCAAATGTTTATCAAAAAGAGGAGTTTAAATAATAAATCTCTACTAAGCATATGTTACTGCAAACCAGGAACTGTAATAGGCATATCACATGCTGTTTTTAATTCAACAGACGTCTAGTGCCTACTGTATGCCCAGCATAAAAAAAGGCCTCATTTATATTTTTTTAGTCAATTAAAATAATTGTTCCTGCATATACTTTACACATATATTCTCGTCTGCCTGAGATAGTTTGGTATAGTGGAAAAAAATAGTGGACAAGGAGTCAGTAAGTACATCTGAGTTTAGACTCAGCTTCATGGACTTTTTACTGTATATTAAATTATACTGGTACCATGTCCTATAGAGCAATTATTTAATCCATTAATGCCAGTTTTTCCTGTTTCTTCACTGGGAATAAGAGTATCCTTTCATGCATTAAGAGTGGCTTTAATAACATAATAGCTGTGAAAGTGCTTTGAAAATATGAAGAAGTTTACAAAATTAAACTTTTATTTTTTTATAAAGGTCAGCCTGTTGCGAACTAAAATAAAATTTTAAGGCTCACCCTGGCCACCAGCTGACTAAATGGACCCCCTTGTGGCCAAAGGAATACCCTAAAACTAAATTGCCTGCCAGGAGGAAGGAGGTCAGACATGCCTTATCATGCCCCCCTCCCTTCTTGGTGACATCCTTTGTAACCCATTAACAGGCCTAAGGGTATGCAAGACAAACCTGCAGGTCCTCAATTTACACAACAAATCTATGTCCAGTGGCTTATCTCTGATAAAGAGCTCCTTATGTTGAAACATTCCAAGCGTCTAGACAAAGCTTCATGTCTTTAACCAGTTACAGGCCAAAGAATCTTTTACCCCACCTATAACCTGTAAGGCCCCACTTCGAGATGGCCCACCTTTTAGGACCAAACCAATGTATGCCTACCACGTATTGATTTATGACTTCACGTGTAACCCCTGTCTCCCTGAAATGTATAAAACCAAAGTGTAACCCAACCTCTGTGAGTCCACTTGCTCAAGACCTCTTGGGCGTGGCTCCAGGTCATGGTCCTCAAATTTGGCTCAGAGTAAATCTCCTTAAAATTACTTTACAGAGTTTGGTCCTTTTCTCCGTTCACACTGTGAAGACAAAAATGTATAAGCAAGTCAGAGATAACAACACTTTATAACATAGGACTGATTTACTTCCTGGGTATATGCAAAATAGTACATTAAAAAATAAAACATACAGTATCTTCCAATAAGCAAATATTTATTGAATACTACCTTTGTCTTCAGCACTGGTCTGTTTGCTGAAGCAAAATCAGATATGTGGAGGGATACATGTGATAAAGGAACTAATATTTGTTGAGCTCTTATATATGCACAAGAATTTACATAATATTATCTCATTGACGCCTCACAGCAACCCAATGAACTAGGTCTTCTTATCCCATTTTTTGAATCAAGATTCTGAGACTCAGAAGTTGATTAATTTCCCTATAGTCACAGCTAGTAAATGGGAGAGGGTATTTACACCCAGGCTTTATTGAAATCAAAAGCCTGTGCTCTTTTCATTGTACAATGATGACACCATTTCAAAGCTCAAGATGCTTGTATTCTAATTCAAGAAACAAGATGAATACAATAATCAGCAATCATTAATATTTTTAAAAAGAGTTAAATATATAAAGCGAGTACTAGATAAGTTAAAGACTGAGGTTTGTGAGTTAAGGTGGTTAGGAGAGAATTCATGGAGGTTAGGGACCTTAAGCTGGGTCCTGAAGTACAAATATATTTGGATGGCTAGCTGCAGAATGAGCAAAGACCTGGAGGCTAATGAGCATAACCATGCCTGTCTGTGGAAGGCAACAGCTCAAGAGATAAGATTGGCAGTGTTTGAGAGGGAAATGTGGCCTACTTTCATGGCATATTTGCATCTAAAAAACATATTTTCATCTTAAATACAAGGAGAAACTCCTCTTTGGGCATTTAATCTGTACAATTGTAGGGTTGTGCTTAGTAGGGCCCTGTACTTAGTTTAATGTTCTGCTGTCATCATGTTGAAATTCTTAATTTTTGAACAAGGGACCCTGCATTGTCATTTTGCTCTAGGTCACACAGAACCATAGATGGTTCTGCTTCCACTGTATGACATCTTAAAGATCCTAAGTTTGAGACCAGTGATTCTCAAACTTAAGCATGCATCTGAATCACTTGGAGAAGGGAGCCTGCCAATATTAAACAAATGAACAAATATCACTTATAAGGTAATATTTGTAATACTCATAAGACAGGCTAAGGGGATAAGTTATTAACCAGATAAGGAAACCCTGGCATCAGAAAATTTGATGGTGTTATCTAAAATCACCTGGGTAAGGTTGAAATTGAAACCATGTCTTTCACAGTCTGAAACATATGCTTTTTTCCTTTATACCATTGTGCCTCAAATTTTAGTCTACATCAAAATCACCTGGATAGCTTCTTAAAAAATAGATTGCTGCTTCTGCACCCATTGCACTCTGTAAGTCTGGGGTACAGACTAAGAATTTGTACTTCTAACAGGTTCCCAGATGATGCAGACACTGCTAGCCTTGGGACCACATTTTGAGATTCACTGTTACGGAGAAAAAATTAGTAAACTGACCTTCCCTTGCTGACAAGGGAAACCTTCACCTCTTGACAAAATCCAATCCAGACCTTTCAGGAATAATTTAAACTATCGTGTTTTCTCTTTCTATGAACTTTATCATTCATATTATTGTATTAATAATTAACAAACTTTCTGAAAAATTAAGTATGACTATCGAATTTGGGGGGAAGAAAATATAATTATTGGCTCGTTTATCCTTATTTATAAAACTGAGAGAGGAAGAAAACCAAACCAAGCCTTATCTCACAATTATTTTCTACCTACGATATTCCACAAATATCAGAAGAAACAGATTTGAGCCAGTGTCAACGATTTTGACAAGTATACATTATTAGAGGATAAAAATGTCACTTTTTTAGAGGAGTTGCCTCCAATTGACTTCAATTTAAAAAGCTGGAATATTTCCATGGCTCATTTGCAGCCTGGAGGGTAAGGTTTAGAAGATTTAGAATAACATTAGAAAATATGAATGATCTGGACCTTTACCTAGGAAATAAAACAGCATATTGTGGAGCAACGTGATACTTCAAAGCATCTGATTCAGATTGCCACAAATTCTATACAATCAATTATGCAAAACTGATTTGAATCAACAGTGCAACCAGAATTAACGTTTAAAGATTATAGATTATTTTGAAGGATAGAGTGACGGAAGCCAAAGGTGAACTGCATAGAAGTTTCCACCTACTTTCCTATCTGGACATAGTATTGATTTTCTTCAATTTTAGAATGACATAGGGGACCTTATGCAAATCACTTAACGTTTCCCAGCCCTAGTTCCTCATATATAAAATGTGGATGAAAATATTGCTATACTCACTTCACAGGGTGGGTTTGAAGGTCAAATAAATTGCTTCTTTCTCCAGTCCATTTCCACGATCTTTACAGATAACTTTCTAAAACACAAATCTGAAAAGGTCATTTCTTGACTTAAAACCATTCAATGACTTCCCATAATTTCCAGATCCAAACCTCCTAAGATGGCATAAAAGCTGTTCTGTGATCTGATGCCACCTACCATTCCAGTCATTGTCTACCACTCTTCACAAACACCTTACCCTTGATCACACCCAATTGCTCATTGGTTGTTACCTTACTGGTCATGTTCTTTCACATCCTGCATATTTCAACAGGCTGTTGCCTCTTCTCATTTTCCCCTTGTTTCCTCCCTAACCTTCAAGGTGAAGTACAATTCTATACTGACATCCCTTCTTTTGTGAAAACTCCTTTGGCAACATTTATTATACATTTATTACATCATATTGTAATTATTTATTTACATATATTTTCATACTAGACTGTGAAACTCCTCCAACATAATTCTATGTCATATTTATGTCTGTTCATCTACAATGATTTTTTTTTTTTGAGACAGAGTCGCACTCTGTTGCCCTGACTAGAGTGAGTGCCGTGACGTTAGCCTAGCTCACAGCAACCTCAAACTCCTGGGCTCAAGCGATCCTCCTGCCTCAGCCTCCCAAGTAGCTGGGACCACAGGCATGAGCCACCATGCCCGGCTAATTTTTTCTATATATGTTTAGTTGTCCTGATAATTTCTTTCTATTTTTTTAGTAGAGACAGGGTCTCACTCTTGCTCAGGCTGGTCTCAAACTCCTGAGCTCAAACAATCTGGCCGTCTCGGCCTCCCAGAATGCTAGGATTACAGGCGTGAGCCACGGCGCCCAGCCTACAATGATTTTTACAATGACTCTACAATGCCTGCTATATGTTAAACTCTCAATAAATACTTGTTGAATTAATCAATGAATACGTGAACACATAAGTGCTAACCATCAGTTTAGTCTTCCATGACTGCCAAATCTGGATTAGTTCCTCCCATGTGCTCCCCTAGATCCTGAAACTTGATCTTCATCATATTTAGCAGACTGCTGTTGCCCACTTACTTCTCAGCAAACCTCTCACTAGACTGACAG